TTATATATAGTAGTATATAGACAGAGTAAGTGCTATTAGTATATATAAAAAATGATTGTGGATCTGATGCAAAGAGCGCAAAGACCACTTAATCAATATTTAGTTGCAAAGTAAAAAAAAAAAGAGAATGAAATAAAGTTATCAGCTAAGTTTATTTAAGGTATTAATGCTTTTCTATTGCTATTGATAAGAGACCAACTCTATTTTTTGGTAGTTACGGCCCAGTGAAAGAAAAAGACAATAATATTTTAAAGCTCAAGTGAATGAAAATTAGTTTAGTTTGTATCAAGGAACTGAATAAATGTTATAGCTTATGTATGATATAAATATGTTAGTATATTATATACGTACTAATAAGCTCTATTCTTATATATATTTTCTATACAACAATATAATAAAGTCTAAATCTGATTATATATCTTAAACAAAGTAAAAAAAAAGTATAAAGTATTTACCAATCAATAATTTTCTAAAGTAACTTATTAAATAATTCATATTGTATATATAAATAAAACTGTTAGAAATATATAAATTCAAAGCTCGCATAAGTATAAAAATAATAGCAATTATTAATAAAAATATATCAATTTGATACAGATTATAGCAAAAATATATAAAATACCTAAATTCTAATTGCAACACAAATACATCATATTTAATTAGCTTGTTTGAATATAAAGTATTTGTTTTAATTACCTCTTTAACTAAAACACATATTAGTAATTAAAAAATAAAAAAACTTTAATAAAATTGTAACATATAAAAAAATTTTTAAATTTATATAACCTTAATTTAAAAAAAAAAAACTTAAAAGATTCTTCTTTTAAGAAAAAAAAATAAATAATTTAAACACAATTGAAAAAATATTCTAGTGATACTTGACGTCTAGCAGCAAACTCCTTGCATTTAACAATATTATTTACACACCTAATTACTTCCAAATCTTTTGCAGATACACCAAAATCATCATCTTGTTGTAAAAGAAATTTAACTAAATTTTTAGCAAAATTACTTCTTTCTTGTAAAAAAAAAACTTGCAATAGTTCACTAGAATAGTTATTATCATTAGTATCAGATTGAACTTCCTTATTATTATCTTCATTACAAATTTGCTCAATTAATACTGTATCATCTGGAAAATCTTCAATTGGCAAAACATCATCAAGATGTAAGTACTCATTAGCACTAAGTAAATCAGTTAATGGAAGATTAGAAATCAATTCATTTATATCTTGTAATTAATTATCCTCTTCAAAATTATCAAATTCCAATATATTGTTATTATTATTTGCAGTAGCAGGAAGTATACCAGTTCATTTCCAACAATTAACGATTGTACCTGGTATTACACTATTCCATGCATCAGCTGCTAGATTAATTGCATCAAGAATAGAAAATTCAGGAATTGTTAAATTTGTATCTTGTTGATTATAAATAAAATCATATGCGTCAACCCTATTTTTAATAAAACCTTTTTTGTAAAAACATTTAAATAAACGAATAATTCCTTGATCACATGGTTGTAAATGAGCAGTTGAATGAGGAAGTATAAATTCAATATGAATATTGTTAAGTTTAACATCTTCTTCAAGCATATATACTGGCACATTATCAATAAGAAGAAGAATTTTCTTATTATGTCGATATAGCTGCCTATCCCAGTCTTTTAAAATATGTGTCCAAATAGAAACCTTTACAATAAAATTAAAATTAAATAAGTTATTAAATTATATTCCAAAGCTAAATAAATAAAATATACCTGCATTCAACATGTTTTATTCCAAAAATAAGAAACTGAAAGATTATTTAAATTAATATTATGTAGCATATATGGTGTTTTATATTTATGTATAAATGCTAACTTAAGTTTTTGAGTACCTGTAGCATTACAAGCAACAAGACAAGTAATACGTTCTTTAAAGAGCTTTTGTCCTGGCTGACGTATATTACTGAGAGATCTTATTGGTTCTTGTCTCCAATAAAGACCTGTTTCATTAGCGTTCCAAACATCTTCTAAAGGATATTTGGCTATAATTTTTTGTAACCTATTTCGCTCAGTATTAAGTTTATCTGCTGATGGGGCACTACCACCTTCACTAATTCTTGTATACATTTTTATACCATTTCATGCTTTAAATCGAGCTAACCATCTATTTGATCTACAAAACTGTTGATTACCAAGATTAGATGCAAATCGTTTTGCAAGAATTTCATCAGTTAAAGTTAATTGTTGTGCAAATGTATATTGAAGCTTTCTTTTCATAACTTTCTCAATAAGTGGATATCCTGGTGCCTGCAATTTTTTTAGTTGTGTATCATAGTTATTGTTATCAAGATATAACCATTTATTTCGCTCTTTCCATATGTTTGAAATAGCTTGGGTAGATATATAATATTCAGCAGCAAGATCTTTTTGTTTAGATGGATTTGGCTTAGAAAGCTTTTGACAAATCTCACGCTTAGTAATACCCAAAATTGATGTGTGCTTTTGCTTAGTACTGTTATAGAACCGTTTATTATTTTATTAGATTAATATTCCGATATTGTATAATTATTATTGTTATTATTTT